CCGCCAGTCAAGTTAGGTTTAAAAGAGAGAAAAAGGAATCTCTCTCCCTCATTTTTGTGCCCTCAGGCTTGATGACCCTTTGCTCCCAGCTGGCCAGCCACTGCCTTCAGCGACCCTCAAAGCCCAAAAGCGTTCTAATTCTTGACCTCGGAGCTGGCCACAATCTTGAGGTAATTTGTAAATCCTAAAACCATCGGTTTACTCAAGTGTTCAACAGATTTAGACATGGCTGAATGTTACGTGGTAGAACACATTTTGAAAGAAATTTTCATCTTCTGAATCCCTTGAACTCCAGTGTTTGGCAGATTTGGGGTAGATCGGACCTCTGCACATGACGGGATCTTAGGCCTTCTTCGAAGTATGTAAAATGTTAGGAATTTTGTTCAGCTCCGAGCACAAGTAAAATAGTTAAAAGGATAGACATCTGAGTTTTTTGAAGCCATTGCTTGCAATTGATGAGTCCTTGTGTGGATATGCTAACCATGTTCAACGGTCCTTGGTTCATTATGAAATTGTATCATAATTTCATCACATGTAGGATTTAAAATGAACTTCAGGATCTTATTTTGTCTGTTAGAAACGGAGGTATAAGCAATCTTGTGGTAGATTTGGTAAAGTTCAGGATAACCCAAACCAAACTAGGTCAAAGTGTGAACTTTTTTGACCTTGAGAGTTTCAGAAAATTGGGAAAGTTTAGGATCTTTGTTCTATAGTTATTATCAGTATCATAAATTTCCTTCCCTTTTCTTGTTTAATTATCTCTCCATAGAGAACACCGGTTGAGAAATTAGAGAAAGCTATGTAGAGAGAATTGCAGGTATCTTTTTTGCGAATTGAGACTAGACTTTACAAAATGAGGATACCCAACTATTTATAGGTAACAGTCAAGATATGCCAAACAGAAAAATAAAACTAACTAATTCCATTAGAGCCACATCTAACAAAGCTCCACCTTGGCTTTAATTCTATTACAAATATTTCACTTCCAGCTATCAATGTTTCGGAGATCCAAACAATGCCTGAACTTATTCAAAGAAACTGGTTTTGTCAGTGCATCAGCTGGATTGTCATCAGTCTTCACTTTCTTCACTTTAATTCTCCTTTCCAAACGTATAAAGTGATAACAAACATCTATCATCTATGTGTTTCGTTCTTTCATGATGCACTTGGTCTTTTGCAAGACAAAGGGCACTCAGGCTGTCACAAAAAAATTACAGGCTGATCTTGATGAAACCCAAGATCTCCAAGCAAACCTTTCAGCCAAATCCCTTCTTTTGCAGCCTCCTTAAGAGCCATATATTCAGCCTCTGTTGTAGACAAAGCAACAGACGGCTGTAACGTCGCTTTCCAGCTCACTAAGGCATCTCCAACAGTGAATACATATCCAGTTAATGACCTCTGTGTGTCAAGTCAGCTGCTTAATCAGAATCTGATAATCCAACCACAATACAATCTGTTTCTCCTCCATAAATGAGACCTACATCAGCTCTGCCTTTGAGGTAACGAAAAATACGTTTCACAGCAACCCAATGTTGTTTCACATTACATTCTTTCCCCGGATTAGTCATGTAACGTGAAACAACACTAACAACATGAGCTATGTCAGGTCTAGTGCTGACCGTGACATACATAAGACTTCCTACAACATTAGAATAAGGAACTTCGCTCATATACTCCACCTCAGCCTCGGAGGTGCCAAAGCCACTGATAATCTAAAATTTGCCGATGAAGGTGTGCTCACAGGCTTTACAGAAGCCATACCAAATCGAGAAAGTATCTTCAAAATGTTACTTTTTTGTGACAAGAAAAGTTTACGTCTAGATCTATCTCGGATAATCTCCAAACTGAGAATCTTTCGAGCAACCCCCAAATCTTTCATGTCAAACTTAGAATTAAGGAGTCCTTTTAACTTCTTAATTTCAGCCAAATCACGAGCTGCTACTAACATATCGTCCACATAAAGTAGTAGATACACATGTCACCCGTCAACACTTCTCTTATGACATATAAAACCATCATAAGGGCTTCTAGTAAATCCATGACTCACCATAAAGCTGTCAAAACGTTTATACCACTGTCTTGGAGATTGCTTTAACCCATAAAGCGATTCCTTGAGCTTACAAACATAGTTTTCTTTACTTTGAGCTACAAAACCCTCCGGTTGACTCATATAGATTTCCTCTTCAAGCTCACCATGTAAGAAAGCCGTTTTGACGTCCAATTGTTCCAACTCCAAATTTGCTTGTGCTACTAGTGCCAACAACACCCGAATGGATGTATGATGCACCACCGGCGAGAAAATTTCATTATAATCAACCCCTTGCTCTTGGCTATAACCTCTAGCCACCAAACGTGCCTTGTATCTCACACTTTCGGCTCCTGGCAGCCCCGTTTTTTGCTTAAAGATCCACTTACAGGTCACAACTTTTCTCTTGAACACTTGGAGTAGATGAACACCCACGCCACGTAACATACTCTCCTCATCAAACACTACGTCATGGCTGAGAATCACATTTCTTTTATCAAGAGACCAAATTCTGTAGGCCTTTACTCCAATTCCGTATCCCATAAACAGCCCCTTCTTTGATCTTGGTTCCAACTTTCCTTCACTAACATGGTAGTATGAAGGACAACCAAATATTCTCAAGCCCGTGTAATCAGCCGGCTTACCGGACCACACCTCAATAGGAATTTTACAATCAATTGCCGTTGCCGGGTATCTATTCACCAAGTAGCAAACCGTGTTTAACGCTTCTGCCCAAAAACTTCTATTCAACCCAGCATTTGACAACACACATCTCACTCTTTCCAGAAGCGTTTTATTCATTCTTTCGGCTACATAAGAGTGAGTCCTTTGAGTGTGCCTAACCGTTCAATGCCTTGCAATTCCTTCATCTTTACAAAACCAATCAAACTCACTTGAACAGAACTCCAATCCGTTGTCCGTTCCCAGCCGCTTTATTATCTTCCCAACTTGATTTTCAATGAGAACTTTCCAATCTTGAACTTCTCAAAGGACTCACTCTTATGCTTCATGACGAATACCCAAGTCATCCTAGAGTAGTCGTCAATAATTGAGAGGATGTAACGACCACCACCAAGTTAAGGAACTTGCGAGGGACCCAAACAATCAACCTGTAGGTAATCTAAAGTCGACTTGGTTGTATGGACAACTTTTGAGAAACTCACTCTCCTTTGTTTTCCAAAGATGCAATGTTCACAAAAGCCCAATTCAACAACTCTATGACCTCCAAGAAGTCCTTTCTTGCTGAGAATTACCCTTCCTTTCTCATTTACATGCCTTAGCCTCATGTTGAATCAATTTCCTTTTCATTTCTTTCCACCTTGAAGACAAGTTGAGAGGGTATTGTTATCCCCTGAAAATCAAGTAGTCAATATAGTAGGCTATGCGAAACTTAGGTTCACGTGAAACCTTCGTAGACCCTTGAGACTCGTGAGACCACAAAATAATAGTGAAACTTCACAGCAGAACAACATTGTTGTGAAGGACCAAAGGGCCTTCGGCCTAGCGGTATCGTAGTCCTTGGCCTCCTAGGAGGTCAAGGGTTCAAACATCACCAAAGGTGAGGAGAGTGTGAGTTTATTTGTTGCATTTGCCGTATATAAATATTATATTCTTCAAAAAAAGAACATTGTTGTGAAGGTGCAAAAATCTCCGAACCTTCACAGCAAAAACAATGCGAAGGTTTACCTTCACAATACCTTCACAGTGTTTTGCTGTGAAGGTTTAGTGTTATCTAGGTGGTCTCACGTGTCTCATGGAAATAGCCTGGTCTCACATGATCCTAAGTCTATATATATAATTTTAATTATTATATGAACCGCCATTTTTGGACTGCTATATGACCGCTTTACCATCGTGATAACCACTATTTCAAATCGTGGTCTCGACTCTTGATCACGATCTCATTATTTTAACTGTTGTTACATCATAGTTCCACATGAATCTTTGTGTAGCCTCTTTTCCTCCCACGATTGTACATATCATGTATTGGCCCATTGCTAACAATGTATGATATGAAGAGCATGCCTCTATTGGAAACACGTTCAGTGATCCATGCAGAAGGATATGTTCAAATTGTGTCCGACTTTCTAAAGCAAGAGTTCGATACCACTAAGTCCAGGATGGTACGACCTTCATTTTGCATCCAAATGCCAAAACCCCCATAAGCCCCTGTGTATCGATCTGCATCTATAAATAAGAGTCGGTCACCGGCAAATCTCTCACCAAATCTAGGGAATCCCAAAAACTCTTCATTTTCAACTCTCCCAATCCTATTTTGTGGCATATACACACATACGAAATCAACCATATCCACCCTTACCACTAGTTCCTGCACTATAATTCACTTCCATTATGTTGTCCGTGAGCTCCATTGCTACCATGATTCCTACGCCATTTCTTGTGCTAAGAATGCTTAAATACCATAACATTTTCAATCCCAAGTTGAGATCCATATAAGGCTTGAATTAAGGCTTTTGTCTCCCATATATGGCCTTCACTTAATATCTTGTAAACCTCTTTCCTCCTAGACTCATTTATTGCAAACAAGTTGCATCTCCAACCATGTGCATCTACACCCATCATAAGGCAGTCATTGTTGTCACCTCTTTCTATACATCTAATCTTCATCTACTCTCTCTAGTTAATGGTGCATTTATGAATCGTCAATTTATCAACATGCCACAAGTTGTCTTGTTGGTATTACGGATCATACTCTATAGAAGCTAAAATTGGAAGGATTGCTTACAAATTAGCTCTTCATGATGGAACATAAATTCATCTTGTTTTCCATGCTTCACTGCTCAAGCGGCAACTAGGAGAGCATGCTACAGTTAGCTCAGAACAACCCAATGATGAGAGACTAGTTAGGGGCGATGCTCGTCTGGAATTGCTTCCACCATAGCTACCACCAACAACAATTGTTGATGTTTCAAAGCTTTGTATATACCCATTTTCATGGAAAGCTGGTCCCATGGCTCACAATGTTAGGCCTCACCCCTGTGGACAACTCTTAGTAATGGTGTATGAAAAGGGGGCTAAAGTTGTCCTCATGTACGAAACTCTACAGGGAAGTTGGGGGTTTTGTAAAGGAACAAATTTATATTTCCGACGGCACGATGGGTAAGCTGTAATATGTGAAGACTTCTTTGGTGCTTTATGAGATGCTAATGATGTAAATTTTGCTAATTTCTTATTATGCTATAAATGGTGGCCCCTTAGACCAGGAATGCCCATAAAAGAGCCAATGTTCATTCCTATATTAAATTGGTCTTCTCGATTCAAGTGGCATGGATTGCCACTATGATCTATCTACCAAGATGGAAGGTAGTCCGTCACATGCTACTGTGAGCTCCTCTATACTACAATTATCGGAGTTAACCAGGGGAAGAAGTTGTATTCTCTGTGGTGCCAAGAAACCTATTCCATCTCTATTACAGGGTCATGTCGCTCTTGTCTATCTACAGTTTGATTTCACAGAGAGATATTTTTCCTTGTTCACAATTTAGATAAATTGAATCGTTGGCGAGTTGGACAAATATTAGCAAGGAAATTGATGCTTAGCAAAATGGTTAATTTCCAAAAAGATGTGTTGGTTCTCTATCCACAATTTCTACATGGTATCAAATGTATTGTGTTGGATCCAAGTTTGGACAAGGAATTTATTGCAAAAGCAATAACTCCTTGGTGAATGTGACATCATGGTCATGATGGAAGTAGCAAACCCTGTGTTTGATTTTTTATCAAAAAATAGTTTGCTTCTAAATTGAAGCAAGGGTTCCTAAACCTGGTAAAAGAGAACAAGAGCTCAAAGAAGTACGAGTTTAACCATGTCAATATGGAAAAACATGCTCTTAAGAACACCGCCCATCCCTACCCTGCATCTCTTGACAATCAATAAGTCACCGAGCTTATGTTGTAGGAATGCAAAACCACCACAAATAGGACATATCAGTTATCTGCACCCACAACCATTGCCCAGAAACCGGCATCGCTCATTATGATACTTTTGTCGACTTCTATGACAAATGACTTCTTCGTCGTCAACAACTGGTTTCCGTTTCAATCCTCATTGGACGTTCTTGGGAATGTTGGCAATCCCAACAAAGAGTATTCGTTGAATCAATTTCATTTTCATTTCTTTCCACCTTGAAGACAAGTTGAGAGGGTATTGTTATCCCCTGAAAATCAAGTAGTCAATATAGTAGGCTATGCGAGCCTACTCGAGCTATTAGAGGATTCAAGCTTTTAACGAGGTACTTGAAACTCGAGGTTGAGCTTAGTAATTCTTCAGCTCGATTCGGTAAGGAACACAAAATAAAACTCGTTTAACTTAACAAGACGAGGTTATTAGCACCAATGTTCAACTCAGCTGGTTTGAGAACTCGATTAAATTTTTCAAGTCTAGCGGAGCCATTCGAGTGTACAACTTTTTCGAGCTAAACATGCTCATATGTTCATAAACCATACATTAAAAATATAAAAATTATCAAGCTTGAACCAATAAACAAGTTAATTGATCGCGAGTTTGATCCCATAAACGAGCATCGAACTCGAGCTCGAGAATTGAAAAAGTATTGTAGCTCGAGTTGAGCTTGAGCTTGGTATTATTTTCTCCCAGCCGAGCTTGAATAACCTACTATTCGACCTGGCTCGAAGGGGGTGCAAATGGCTAATGTGTGAGTGGTACACGTAGGTGAAGCAGGGATTGCAAAGTCGTTGTTTGCTATTATCAATAAGGAAGCATTAGGGATGGGGTGTATCAGTTTTTTAATTCATTTTGGGCAAGAGCATGGAGAGAGATTTTTAGCCTCACGAAAGCTAGACTTCCTATTGTGATCTTTCAGTTGATGAGAAGCAGTTAACTTGGATTCTGCTAGTGTATATAATTTTGTTGCTTATGGTGCATGCAAATCATGCATATGAGCCTCGTCTTAGTCATGAGTTGATTAAATTGAGTTGATCATTAGTTGCTTTTGTTTTGAATAATGGTTGCTATTCTGTTGCAACTACACATTGTGATCCTTAATCTCAAGGAAGAAGTTCTGGTCGTTTGTATTTTAATTAATTTGAATGATTGAAAAAATGAGGAGATTGGGGGGGGTTCTAGCTAATCACCCTAAGTAGAAGTCTTATCTCATTATAAGATCACTCTGATCTTGACCTATCGGTATGTACCCTTTCATTTTCGTATGTATTAGATCTTTCAAACTGTATGATGAAATATAGGGATTATCTGCTTTTGCTGCATTTTTAATCTTCGTAGTCCCTCGTATATGCTTCATATTTCATTGCTCAAGTACATTGTCAAGGGTTCATACGCTCTTCTTTTTCTTGGATTAAGGTAGAAGGTTTCACATTAATATTGAACTTCAGAAAATGGACAAAACCCCTTGTATCTCCACCTTAATGTTTTTTTTTGTTATTGCTCATATGCTTCACTTAGATTTTCAATATCTTGTATGTATGGAGAAGGATCGCGTTATCAAATGCCTGAAGATTGGGGAGGGTAATTGGGAGTAAGAAGGAAACCTACTCATGAAGATTGGTAATGTAGTGTTTGGTTTGCTTCTTTGCATTATACTTCTTTTGTCGTGAGAATGCAACAATTCTTTAAAGGATATTCCCAATAAATGCAACATTTTTCTTTTTGAAATTTCCTTCTTTTATCATCAGTGGTCAATACCAAATATTGACGGCATTCATTTTGGTCCACTTGCTTCCTTATTTCGTCATAGTTGATGGGTATTTTTGATATTTTACGTAATAGTTAAATGTTCTTCACATTTGTTTTGGGATATAAACATTGGTCTGTAGAACAATAAATTTGATTATGCTCTTTAAAATTCCACAGGTTAATCCTGGATGCAGATAATGCACCCATGGTTGTTCCATTTGTGCATGCAGGGATGCAAGAGATAATGCCCATTGGAGCCACGTTTCCTAGGGTTGGCAAAATGGTATGTTTGTTTGTTTGCTCTCACAAACTTCATACTTGTTTTACTTTTACATGCATGCACCACCTATCAGAAAGGTTTTTTGTTGTTGGTTCCCATTGTTAGCTTTCATACCAGATGGAAAAAAGAGATGACAGTGTCTGTTATAATGTATAATGTATTTATACATATATTGAAACTGTTTTATGTTTTTAGATGGATCATAAGAATTTGCGCTTTTTCACGTAAAAGGTTTTGTTCTCACCTTCTCACCCATAACTCTTATTCTCATTGGAACCAACCCTATAGTATATACGTATATATATATATATATATATATATATATATATATATATATATATATATATATANTATATATATAGACTTGGGATCATGTGTGACCAGCCTGTTTTCGTGAGATCCGTGAGACCACCTTTTTACACTTGAAACTTCACAGCAAAATGCTGTGAATGTGACTTTTTTTAACCTTCACAGTGTTTTTGCTGTGAAGTTTACGTGTAAAAATGTGGTCTCACGGGTTTCACGAAAACAGGCTGGTCTCACGTGAACCCAACCCTATATATATATATATATATATATATATATATGTATGCATGCATGTATGTATGTAGGAGGTTTAGGGGAAAACCCCAAAAAAATGAAAAATTGAGGGGCACCCTGATAACCATTCATTTGGACGGTATGCACGAGCGCATACAAGTAATTAAAGTTGTTTCTCGGTTTTATGCGCTTGTGCATGTTATGCACATGTGCATACCGGACAAATGTCTTACGAATTACTTGTATGCACATGAACATATTGTCTAGATGAACGGTTAACAAGGTGTTTCTCAAATTTTCATTTTTTTTTGCGGTTTTCTCCTGAACCTCGATATATATGTATGTATGTATATCTTCCTTTTGGAACACAGGAAGTACATCCGTTGGTATATGAACCCACTGAAAAACAATCAACCAATGGTGTTTGATATAGCAACTTCAGACTTTTGTTTTGGTCACCATGAGATCAGAATTAAAAAAACGTATATTGATGGTTGAGATTACCGGCTTGACAACATGGCAACCTTTGGAAATCATCGTCTATTGTTCTATTGAATTTAGAGTTATATATTTTTTTCTTTCTATAACCATGGTTGTCCAGGCCGGCTTGCATGCACCTCGACTAATCCCATGCAGGCCTAAAGTTGACAGTGAATCAAGGTCTTATCAGTTGAGCCACCCCTAAGGGTCTTAAAAATAACATGTGAAGCCTTTTTTTCTTGTGCTGTTCATCTGAATCGGCGCTTTCATGAAATTTGTAGGTCACAATACTTGTTGGTGATCCGATTGATTTCAAAGATCTGCGGGAGTTGGAACAGGACAACAATGTACCAAGGGGAAATCTATATGATGCTGTGTCTTCAAGGATCAGTGATCGTCTAATGAAACTAAAAGCACAAGTTGACAAATTAGTTGAACTTCGAACTGATAAACAAGATGTACTAATGGCGGAACATTTTGATACCGGATATGAAGAAGACAATCGTTATTTTAGGGTCGGATTTTCTTGCCAAGGGTCCGGTAGGATTACTATGGACCCCACCGAGCTTATGGGTTTTGCAGCAAGAGGCTTGTTTATGAATCAGAGAATGAAGGAAAATGTTCAACCTTCCAAAGCTTGGAACAGTTTTTGGAAGCAAAGTCATGGATCAATCTCCATGTTGGCATGTGCCAATTGACTTTTGACCTTTTTTTTTTCTTCTCCTTCAAAGGAATAGGGTGGTGGGTGGCTTATTGGATCAAGAGTTGAGGTGGTACTTCCATTGTAAGATGTTTATGGAAGTCCCTGCATCTACTTCTAATATGTTATGGTTCAACAAATTTGCCACCACTATAGTGTACTACTATAATAAATCAATACTCATGGTGATAGGCGGGTTGGGTTTTGGTGAGAAGAGAAATTATGGTGAGAAACATAAGAAGAGATCTCCACTCTTGGATCAATCATAATTAAATGTTAACACAATGAGGTGCACCGAGATGCATTAGATCAATTCATTTTTAAAGCACAATTAATGGGTGAACATGAGATTAAAAGGGACAAGGGTTCAGATTTTTTCTTATGCTTCTCACCACTTGTCTATTTTCTTTGTTAAATTTCAAATTAAATAGTTTGCTTTTGTAAAATAAGTTATAGTCAATGACAAAATTCTATCTTGATATACACAAAAATGGCAATTAAGAAACTGCCGTTATTTACTTGGTTAAAGCCATAATTGGCCTTGGTTCTTAGCTTAGTATATGCAACTGATATTGAATGCTTGGTCTACTTTAATTAGCATGCTGACCAATGGCTCTTTTTGGTCCGGTCGTTCGAGAACTTGTCATTAGAAAAAAATTATCTGATAGGTTCCATGCGTCATAATCGGTACTCAGCTCATTCTTTAACCGGTTAAAATGTAACCACCTCCGACATGGTTATGTTTGACAAACTAGTTGATAAGCTAGCAAAAAAACTAGATTATAAATATGCAAAATGACCAGAAAAGACAGTTGATTATAATATTTTATAATATAGTTTAACAAAAATTTATAATAATATAATATGTTAGTTAATACAGATTATATGATAAATAAAAATTAAATAATATAATATGTTGATTAAAATAATTTCAAATTGATTACATATATTAAAATTTTTGGGTTTGTTAAAATAAATTTTAAAAAAAGATCTACTAATGTATAATTTTAAATAACCATTTTATATAATATGAATAAAAATAAAAATGATCAAACTTTGCATATCCTAATTAACTAATAATTCTTCAAAAAATATAATTAACATTGAATTAAATATTTTATTCAAATAATTCAACAAAGTTTCATTGTCTCTGAGATATAGAACAAGTATATTTTAATTTTTACGTAACTTATATAAACATTGTATTTGCTTTTTGATAACCAAATACACTAAATAATAATTAAAAAATATATAAAAATAATTGATATGATTAATAATTATTGTAAATAATTGTATAATGTATATTTAAAATTAATTAATATTTATTAATGTTAGTAATAATTAATATTTATTTATAATTGATAATGATAAATAATTAATATTAATAAGAGTTATAATTGAAAAACATAAAAATAAGCTCAATAAAATAATTTTTATTCATCCAAACATATATTAAAAAAATAACTAACTTATATTTTCTCAATAATACCTAAATCTTAACATGTTTTTGGGACTTGGTGCAAACAACTCCTTTCCATTTATGAATGGTTTTTGGCTTAGCATGTAGTTTCGCCCCGTCATTGCACATAGTTTTAGCAGTTAATTTCGGATGCCTATTCTTTATGGTCTTTTAAGCTCTCATTTGACTAGTTTTGCATCCACACAATGTAAACTTCTATTATAAACATTAAACGGAATAAAACATAAATATTTAAAGGAAATTATTTTGAAATTTTTGGAATTAGAAGAGTTTCTCCACCCGACTTTATTGTGTGTTTGTGATTGCTTATTTGAAGTACTTATTAACTTATTCATATGTGATACCGGTAATACAGAGTTTTTAGTGTTTGGATGACAAAAAAAAAAGAAATATTATTACCGGTTTGGCACCGGTAATAAAAAGTTTTTGATAAGTTACCCCCTTCTAACTTATTAACTTATTCTGGTATGTAATAAGGATTTTTAGTGTTTGGATGAAAATAAAAAAAGAAAAATACTTTTATAAGAAAAAAAACATAAGTTGTTTTAAATAAACAGTCACAAACACCCCCTAAATAACAACCCTAAACACCCCCTTAATGGAGCAACGCCTTAAATTCTTTACAATTATACCACAATTTCCTTCCAAGAACAACACAAAAGGAAAGATTTCCTGAAGTTGAAATCTCAGGGATTTCATTGAAATCCCATAATAATAAGATTTTGAAATCACATGAGGGTGCTTGTATTTCATGGTATTTTGTAGGATTTCTATGTAATAATGTTTTAATAAATATTAAAAAAAACATTTATTTGTAATAATCATTTAATAAAAAGGTAATTTAATTATTTATAATTTGTTTTTTATGAATTATCTATAAAGAATGGAATTCAATTCCATTCCGAATCCTACAAACCAACCACACCACAGATTCCAAATCTTTTCAAATTCAAATCCTTCCAATTTCAAATTCTTCCACAAAATCGAAATCCCTCAAAATCATTCCATCAAACCAAACGTCTAATAAAATTCTTGTTCTTCTCTGACAAAGATGGTGAGAACGAAGTTAGAGAATTTGAAATTATGACATCCCATTTTGAACATAGCAGATTATCAACAAAACAAAATTAAGATCAAGTGCTAGAAATTTAAGCTTTTTTGACCAAGAAAACACAACAATTAAATTAATGATCAAGAATGTTACAAAAGGACAACAAGTCCTTGTCCAAACAACTAGGAGAGCCGACCCCCGACAGGTTTGATAAAGAATTGCCATTGCCTAGCTAACTCATGGGCAACCCCATTTCTATTTCTCCCAACAAGGTTAATCTTAAAAGACAACATAGCATCTAAGACTGTTTTACAAGCATGAACGATGTCCCCAAACTCCATACAATCCTTCTCATGTGTTAGGTCAAATATTGTGATGGAAAAGATCTATTTTTAAGGGGGACAAATTTGTTTTGATAGAGATATATTTCTGAGGTGGAGGGATCAAGTTTCTTTGACGATGTTTGAGAATGTCTAAAGCTGATTTGTTAAAGTCTTTGATTGTTCATGATGTTTCAGGATTCTCCTAATCATCATGAGGGGGAGAAATAATAGCAAAGACAAGAAGAGAAGAGGAAGACATGATGCATAGTTATACAGTTGTTACGGGAAATAAATTATGTTCAAAGATGTTTGTGACTAATATTGATGTTCAAAAGTGAAGCTTAACTGGTAAATCGTTGAATCAGTTTGTTGATGAGATGAATTATATCTAAATCTTTTGAATCAAAGGTTGAAAACCCATTGAATTTAAAGATTGTAGATTATTCGAAGGTTGGTACTATTTTGAAGTATTGGTGTTGCCTTGTTGAGACTTATTGTTGGCATATTTTTTAAAAGTTGTTTAAAGAAGTTTGTTCATAAAACTGGATTCTTTCATGATATATGGGTGTTGAGCTTAGTAAACGTAGTCTCAAAGCATCAAATCTAAATGTCTAAAGCTTAACTGTTGACTAAAAAGATTTATCTTGAAGATCTGTTAATTGCTGATTATTGAAGACTATCAGAAGATTTTGATCTAAAGATTTTTTTTGTTCAAAAAAAGGGATATTGTTATTTTTCATGTTCATCTTATACAAAGTTTGATCGTCTTCATTGGGGAGATTGTTAAAGACAAAGATTTGTTAAAGTGAAGACAAACAAATTTCTTTTTGAAAAATGTGATCTCGAATCCAAAGGGGAAATTTTTAGGTCAAATATTATTGTATTCAAGATCACCGATTACAAAGATTATATTGGACAATGAAGGAGTCAAAATGAAAGTCAACATGAGTAAATAAGTCAAAGTTGTAAACATTAGTAAAAAATCAACTTTATAATTAGAGCTTAATTGTAGTTTACTTTGTAGTTTGACTTTGTAATCAGTCAATCATATAAATAATTCTTGTTAGTTTAATTGTTAGGAACAACTCATATTGTAATACATTCTAGTGAGAGAAGTTAGAAAAAGAAAACATGTATTGAGAGAGTTTATCAATATATATATATATATATATATGATGATTTGATCTCTAGATTGTTGTTATTATTGTTTATTCATTGTTATCCGATTATAACTGGGTTTAACATCATGTGCGTTAGAGCACTGACTACGGTTTGAGAATCGATTTCAAAGATGACATTTTCATGCCCCGTGTCTTGAATCCATAACATTGCCTCAAGTAAGGCGATTGGCTCGCATTCTTTTCCTTGTGGGACGTTGAGCCATCTGGTGAGCAATAAATCCCCTTCGCCATCACGAAGCACCATCTCCGAAGCCATTGCATTGCACATCTGTCAGCGACATCACTATTGCATTTCACATCTGTCGTTAAAAATAACGACATCACTATTGCATGATGCCACCGGTTATAGGTATCGTGTCCATGCTTTCAATCTGCAAGCCACAACCACTAGCCAAACCCATCATCTTAAAGAACCAATCTCTAAAACAGATGGACATCAATAGTAGTGCGTTGTGTCTCCAAAGGAAACCCATTGTGCATGGCCAACAATCCATGGCAAATGAGCATACAAGGAACACATGCTAAGTACCCTCCACCAGACCTTCACCTTCACCTACACCTACACCTACACCTACACCTACACCTAGGGTGGCAAAAAATACCCAACCTACAATTAGCAGGTTGGGTTGAGATTTTCAACCCATTTAAATAAATAGGTCAACCCGTTTAATCCATTTAAATAAATGGGTTGGGTTGGATCAAATTGTTTTCAACCCACTTAAAATGTTATATAAATTTATTTTATTCTTAATATTATATCTATTTTTTTTCTTCTTAAATAAATTGGCCCAAGTTTCATGATGACTCTTCGATTTCAATCCTTAAATAATCAATTCTTCATACGTTTCATTACTAATCAGTATCATGAGTCTTGACGCTTTGCCTTCGATTCTTCAATCTTCATACGCTTCGATTATCAATCTTTTCCCCTTCTTTTGAGTTCTACCTTCTCCAATCAAAGATTTGGGTTGGTTTCAGATGATTTGAGGTTGAGGGCTTGAGGCGTTGTTTAATGATAGCAGAGTAAGTTCTTTATGATAATGTTTGTTTAGTATTTTGTTGTTAAACTTCGTATAGATCATATGAATTTTATGCTTCTCTTCGATTATTTGTTACTTTATGACTCTATCGAACTTTAATTAATGATTTCTTTCAAGTTTGAATTTGTTATTTGTGTGGTGTGGCTATCTGTTTCTATCACTGTACCTATACCTCAGAGAAAATTGTTATCATTTGTCTTCATTGAGATAATTATACAAGCTACATATAAGTTGTTGTTTTGTATGCATAGATTATACTTGCTGATGGACTAATGGTCTTAGGATTTTAGGTACAAGAGTGAAATTGGGGTCGATGAAAGTGGAAGTCGAGTTATTTAGAATTTAAAAAATTTTAACTTATTTTGAACAATATATTTGTTGTGGTTGTGTTTTATTCAAAC